CATCAATTTAGCCAGGCTTCAGGAAGTTTTATTAGGTTGCAACAGAATTTACTGAATTTTTGTGCTACAAATTACTTTCTAATCTTTCAGTGGCATTCCTAGATCCTTATTTCATTTTTCTACCGAGTTGTATCACATGGGGTTGTTTTTTTGACTGAATTTGGTATGATTATTACTTTCAGCTGTTCAAGCTTACTCTTTTGTGTGTGTAGTTTACATCCCTTGCAACTGTATGTGCACTTAATTTTTTTTCTCCTACACTTCTGTACTAGCCATAGTTCTTTCAGGTAAAGGGAATAATAAAGCAATTAATTTCTTTGGTATATTTACTTTTGCTGCCAAATACTAGTAAATGCAGTTGGGAAGCCACTTGCCAGATGGAAATGAGATGAAATTACTTATTCATTTCCCATGACAATATAAGGATGTTTTTGTTCACTGTGTATACAGAGTTGATAGAAATTGGAGATTAAGGCTCAGGTTCAGGTAGGCTAAAGTTCCCCTAAATCTCTCCCTTCTCCACACTGTAATTTGATGTATTCCTTTTTATTTCCCTTTAATTTTCATCCTCATCATATTGAAGACTGACAGTTCTTGCTGTTAATTCTTTATTAAAATAATTCACTTCTTATTTTAAAAAAGGAGGGAGTTTCATACGAATTGGACATTGCAGCTCCTAGTAAAATGCTTTAACAGCTTCAATGCTATTAAATGAAATCATAGATATTTCTAAAAAAATTGTCATGGCCACATTTAATGCCATTCAGTAGCTAAATAAGTGATCAGGTGATCACTTATTGTGATAAAGTGGTAATTTTTAAGAGCCATGTGTGCTAACCTTTTTTGCTACAGAAGTACAAAAGTACTGGTGGTAGAATTTTTTTCTTAATGAAGTCTCTAAAGCATTTCAACATATTTGTGTATGTTCTTTGCTATGCTTATCATAAGTCTTGCTTAATGTGTTTTAAACTAAGGGAACATTTTGTTTAGTATACCCTAAATGGGTTTCAAGGGTTGGAAGCAGGGCACTTTCAGTGGGATTAAATGAGTTCCCAGCTGAAGGTCTCACTAAAGGTACACACTTGAGCTGCACATGCTCTGGGTAATGTCAGATGAGCAGAAAACAATCCCTTGCAGCATGTTGCATCAGCTTTTTTCCTCCAACACTGATAAACAAATACATTGTTCCTAACAAAATAGAACTCTAATATAAATTAAAAAAAAAAAAAAGAAGTTATGTAATGTTTATGTTTAGATCTGTGTTTTGGGGTCCTGAGAGACATCTGTGCCTACTAAAACTGGTCTACCTTTGGCTT